AAAAAATTCCTCAAGGAGTTTGATATGGGGTACGAAAAAATCCATGCGTGTTTGAATGATTGCTGCTTATTTAGAAAAGAGTACGAGGACATGGACAACTGTCCAAAATGCGGTGATTCAAGATGGAAGATAAATAAATGATCCAAAGTGGTAAAAAAGGGAGTTCCCGCTAAAGTTTTAAGATATTTTCCTATTATTCCAAGATTTAGAAGACTGTTCAAGTCTGAAAAGATGGCTGCAGATCTGAGGTGGAATGTGATAGCAGAAAAGTAAAATAACATAGTAAATTTGAGTGAAAGACATACGGAATTACCTTATCTCACACATCAGATGGTCCCAATGTTTTGAAAACCTGACCGGACCGGACCAGCCGGTTGAACCGTGAACCGGTGCCTTGTCCGGTCCGGTTAGCACTATAAACTCGAAAATCACAAAAAACCAATCCAATTGTCAAAATCCGGTACTTTGACCGGTCCGACCGGAAACCGGCTAAAAACTGATTTTTTGGCTAACCCGCACATTATTAATTAATTAAAAAAAACAAACATTTTTTTCGCCTGTATCACAAGAAATTAATTGCAATTTGATTTATGCCCTAAATAATAGCCTAATACAGTTTAACAACTCAACAACTAAACAATAGTAGGTTTTAATCTTAAAAAAAAACGTAAAGACTTTGGTTTTATTGTCTTTTACATGTATTTATTATTTACTTTAAATATTGGGTCTATTAGATATAACCCCCTTAAACATTCAAATAATAGGGGTAGACCCAAATTTATATTTGCCATTTTGATAACAACCCAAACTTTTCCTAATTACATAATTACCCTCAATCAAATCCCACAAAACCCGTTACTTTACCTTTTGAAATAAAATCAAATCCTTCCTATTTTCCCGTTAAATCACTATCATCCCAAACCCACTATCGAATAAACTGCAAAATCTCCCAGAACAACTTCCCGGTACGGCCGATTGAAAGGGGAAGACGTCTGCACTGCCGTGAAACGACGATTTTCGTGCACTCCGAGCAAGCTGTCGTAGGCACGTCGTCGCCACTCGCTGAATCGCTATCATCCATCGATTTGTTGATATGTTTTGGCTAAATCGATTATCACGTTTGTGTAATTGCAGATCTGTTATAATCGCATACCGAATTCGAGCACTAAATCAGTGATATTGCAACAATTGATGGGCAGGACATCCACCAGAAGTGATATCGTCGTTGGCCGTCGCCGTCGCCGTCGCCGTCACTGCTCCAAGCTAGGGTTACTCAAATTTAGGATTACTCAAATCTAGGGTTTTGATAATTCTTCGGCCCATAGTTGATTAACGAGATGCATAGTCGACTTACATCTGTATTAATATACTATCCCATATCATTTAATAGACTATCCCACTGGTATAATTTTACTATGGATCTCGTTAATCGACTATGGGCCGAAGAATCATCAAAACCCTAGATTTGAGAGTGACGGCGGCGGATTTGTGTTTTAAAATTAATAGACTATCTCATATCTTTTAATAGACTATCCCATGTATCTAATTCGACTATGGGTTTAGTTAATTGACTATTGGAAAAATAATAATATATATGGAAACTGAATAATATGTTTGTTTGAAATACTAATCAATTAGGGTAATTTTCCTTATTATATGAAAACGATTAAGGTAAATAATAATATATATGAAAAAATAATAATATATATGGAAACTGAATAATATGTTTGTTTGAAATACTAATCAATTAGGGTAATTTTCCTTATACCATGTAATAGACTATCTTATTGATCTAATTCGACTATGGATCTCGTTAATCGACTATGGATCCCGTATTATTCAACCACATAGTATATTAATAATTTCAATATAGTACATTGATCTGCTATGATAGTATATTACGGTTATAGTAGTGATATGAATTGTGTTACAAACAATATACCACTGAAATGACAAGAACATTGAGAACAACACCAACGTAAAATATTCCAACATAACCAATAAAATAGTACATTAATAATCCCATAATTTCAATCTAGGGTTTTGATAAAATACATAAAACACATCATAACACAATCAAACCAATATGTCGAGTTAAAAAACTCTAGTACATTAATAATCTCATAATAGTATAATAAAATGATAATAGTAGTATCATACGGTATTCATAATAGTATACTACTGTATTACAACGGTTTAAAACTTAACCGAAGTTATCGAGCCAAGATACATTCACCAACGCCTTCCAACCTATATGTCATGCTTATATCCCACCCATCGAGTTGTGGCCACTTTGAAATAACAAATGCAACCAATGAACCGCGAGTTAACCCATTCGAACACCTCTTTATAGCAACCAACCCACCAAATCTCAACAAGATCCTTACAAAATTCGCCATCGATAAAAACCTTGAATCATGATACGACATTAAAAATGCAGAATACTAAAAAATATATTAATATGATCAAAAATAAACTTAAAATGCAAAATCCATACGATAACTTAAAAAATACTACGAAATATATTTTAATGTACTACCCAGCGTCCTAAAATCCGCTGTTACAAACAAATAAACCAACTATCGACCGGGATCAGACTCATGAACTCCACGACAGCGGACAGTTATTTCAATTAATGCGTAAACCAACTACGATGTTCATATAAAACAACTCTGGTCCGATATGCGTGAACCATCCTCATCTAACTCTGTCAATCCTCTTCCAAACAAACATCATCCGCCAAAAAATAACGATGTATATATGACGGAATAATTTTGTTAAAAAACGTTCTACTTAATAGAATCAAGTATCAACACAATTCTTAAAAATTTCTAACCACCGTAATCGACAATCCTAGACATTGAGCGAAAAATAAAAACGAATAACGCATTCATACCCGGTTAACAACGTCCAACAACGAACGCTCAAATTCGATCCTATTTCAACGACGGTGCAGAAATCTTCAAAGACGATAAAAAACCGCTGGAACGCTGAAGAGAACCTTCGAAAAATATTGTACACGATTTGATATAACGGCCAATGATCTCACGTAATTTTATTCCGTGATTTTAGGCAACGTATCAGCAAATCTCAAATCACGTAGTAAAGGAAATAAATGCCGTTTAAAAATAAAACAGGGGTATTAAAGGCAAATTATATAATATATTTTGTCAAGTTGGCAAAATTGGGTCTATCTCAAAAAGGGGAAAAAAATTGGATCTACCTTATTAGAAAATATGAACAAGGGGGTTATCCCTAATAAACCCTTAAATATTAAATTTAAGGGGTCTTAAGATATAGGTCCCTAGTGATAAAACTAGTTAGAACTAAATGACAAGTCCAACTAAATATTTGCTTCACATCCTTTATAAAATTCATTCCAAAAGTGCCCCTCTACTCATAAATTCGAAATTTGCATTAAGTAAATTCGAACTGCATTTATCATTTTTTTATTATGCATTTAATATCTTTATTTTTTTCATTTAACATATTTTATTTTATTTTTGCACACTTTGTCATCTTTGTTTTTTTCGTTTTTCACTCAAAATTGTTTAAGTATTATAAACAGCTTATATGTTTTTCTTATTTTTAACATTTTTTTTTTAATTACGAAAAAAAAAATTATTTTCGTTTTTGTTAAGAAATACATCAGATTTTAAAAATACAGTGGTATACTATGGTATACTATGAATTTTAAAAATACAGTGGTATACTATGGTATACTATGGTGTTCTATGATGTACTACGATATACTATGGTGTACTATTCTGAACCCTACCGCCAACAACTCCCAGCCGTCGCCAACCCTAGCATCCCGTGCGGCCGCCGCCAAACCCTAATCGCAGCCGCCGCATCTATACTCACCTACTACCTTTGGAAAACCCTAGATCTGCTATTTTGAACCCAAACCAAACAAAATCTCTTTAAAAAAATAAAAAAATCAGATTCAATTAGTCGAACATATGGTTTCAACGACATAACCACAGCCCCCGCACCGCACAACCACTGTCGCAGCCACCTGCCGCCGCCCTCTCCACCACGAGTCCACCCGCCATCGCCGGCCTTCGTTGCTATTGGAGAAAACGAGTAAGAGAAGATTGGAAACCCTAGATCTGCTATTTTGAACTCAAACCAAGCAAACATAACCACAACCCTCCGCACCCCACAACCACAGGCGCGACCCTCTCCACCACGACTCCACCTGCCATCGCCGGCCTTCGTTGCTACTGGAGAAAACAAGGAAGAGATAGATGGTTGAGAGAGAAAGAGAAAAAAAAGATAGAAAAAGATACAGTGGAAGACGTGAGGGAGAGAGAGATGGAGAGTTAGAGAACGTGGGAGAGAAAGTAAAAAATAAAGAGAAATAAATCTGAAATTGAAGAAACGTGAATGTATAAGTTAGATAATTTAGGGTATAAGGATAATATAGGAATAAATAAAAAATTAGGGATGTGGCTCATATATTAATTTAAAAAAAGGATTTAATTAAAATATTAGATTTAGACTTGTCATTTAGTTCAAATTAGGTTTTCTTTGAGGGGCTCCTGGCATATTATCCCTAAATTTTAATGTGAGACTTATTTTAAATATTTGCTTTGAAAGTAAAATTAAATGTTAATTTTGAATTTATAAGATGACTATGATTTATATTGCATGTTATTTTATGATTTGTTTGTTGTGCTAATTGTAGTTTATAAAAATATTTAATACTGATGATAAACAGGCTATTTTTACGTAATTTCTTGAATAAATAATACCATATAAATTAAATATAAATAAATAAAAAGTAAATAATTCAAAAACCCGATTAGACACTGGTTGAAACGGTCCAACCGTGGCCTCGGATAGCTTGGTCGGGTCAATGTCTGGCGTGATTGTAGACCCGGGACCCGGATCCATCCGAGATCCGGTTGTGGTGAACCAAATCCGAGAACAACTAAACTCGGCGTTGACCCAGTAAATTGATTCGACCCCATCGGTTTAAAAATATTTTTCTTTTGTTAGAGAAAGAGATCAGAGATGGTGGGGAGAGATGTAGAGAAGATGGTGGCAGTAGGCCTCGTTTGGGGCGCCACAAACGCCCTTATGCGCAGAGGCGCAATCATATGGGACGAAGCACTGAAATCTACCCCTCAAACAAACACGGGACAGGTCAAGAAATGGTTGAAGCTCGTGTTGATTTGGCAGTACACTTTGCCTTTCCTGATAAATCTGTCAGCATCAGCCACTTTCTTTGGCATTTTGATTGACACTCCCATTTCTTTAGCTGTGCCGGTGACGAATGCAACTACATTTGCTGCCACTGCTGTTTTTGGGATCATTCTTGGTGAAGAAACCCGTGTTGGTCTTGCCTTGTTCGGTACTCTTCTCATTCTTCTTGGTGTCTGTGTTTGCATCATCTGAGTGAGATACTGAATCATGTTAATTACCCATGATTTCATTCTAGACTTAATGAATGCAATGTGTTTGCTGAAATGCCCCTGTGGGGAATGAGAGTGTGAATTAGAATTTGAATGCTGCTATCCTGTTACTGAATAGGTGAGATAACGATAACAGATATATTTCTTTCTGATTTGTTTGTGTACAACTTTATGATGGTCTTGTTTGCAAATTGGTTTACTGTATTTACTTAGTCTCTTGTACATTATATAATGGTAGGGGTAAGAGAGACTATGAGATTGTGGCCTTAACTGAAAAAACATTTTAGCAATAGCCGTTTGTTGATCTATATTGATCGAATCAGTTGATTCATTTTAGCAACACTTGGGTGTAAGGGTAATATATTATTTCTCTGCACAACTTTATCTTACTCACTAGGATATATTTATGATGTTTGGTTATATGATTTTTTGTCCTACTGTTAGTACACTCCCCTGTACATGGTTCAATTGATCAATTTAATTTCAGTCAATCTGGTTCACCCTGTTGCCAAATCAGTTACTCGTATTTCTCTTTTATAAACAAATCAGTCCTGCCAGTTTGAACAGCTTTAATCGAGATCGAATTGCTCGAGTGCAGCACACCTTGATGCATAAGTAGCTCTGCTATGAATTATTTCTCTGTTATTACTGGTTCTGATTATGGCTGAAACATTGGGATTGAATTAATGGTAATTGTAAGGGATAAAAAAGTGTATTTAAAATATTATTTCTTCTTTAAGTAAATTGAGTTGGTACTTGATACTAGTCATATTATTGTGCACAATCCAAAGAAATGCGAGATAAATGTCTCCAGAAATTATTCATTATTTCAGAACTTCGATTTCATTGAAGCTGCATTCTTGAGTAGCTATTCTATTTATTTAGTTTAGAAGGTATTACAAAAAATGGGAAGAAGAAAAAAAATGTGACATAGCATAGGGAAAAAGGAAAATCAGAATTTGAAGGTTATCGCAACCCAACCTCCAAGGTTAAGCCAAATATGCTGAGTACTTGATGGTTTTGGAGCACCCTTACATGATGTGCAATTGTCGATGGGTATCCTACATTTGTAGATATTCTCAGAAATCTTTAGCCTCGCCGTGAATTTAGAAATTTCCGTCACTTGTATACGAGATGAACCAGTGGTAGTTTTTTATACCGTGGAATTGTGATGCAAAAGGGCAGAGTGGTATTTCAACAAGGATTTCTATTAGTGCTAAGGGGTATGGACGGAAAAAAAAAAATAAATAGATAATGTTTTTGAGTAGGACCTTTCAAACGACTATCGAGTTTGAGCTCCAGGCCAACTTGACATAGAGAAATATGGTCCAACGATCAATACTCGTACGACAGATTTTGGCAATCCCATGCCGTTTAGACTCTCAAAAGTTAAATTATGGCGTTTTTCGTAATAATTCAGATTTTAATTTCCTAACTTGTTATTTTCTTGGGATGTCCGGTTACCTAGGTTTTTAAAATCTATTATGATTTGTTTTTTCGTATCAGTGTAAAACGTCTAGCATGTCTGGAATAGTTGGTCTTTGTATTTAAACTATTAACACCATACTTGAGAAAGTTTTCTCTATTTTATCATGGATTCACATTGTCGTGCTGCGTTAAATTGGAAACAGTAGTTAACTTTGTTACTTTAATACATCCATCTCCAACATGGCAAAAGTGGAAACGGGTTCAATTGTCTTGTTTCATTCAGTAGATGAAGCATTAAGGATCAAACATCTGAATTGAAAGGAATAAGAGACAGGGACTTATTACTTTATCAAACTAATATGTTTAGGTACTCGTAGTTTTAGAGGTAAAGAAGTATGGATTTAAGATACTTTTTCAACCATATTGTTGGTTTTGGTATATGGTTTGGTCTTGCCACTTTTTAGATGTAACTTTAATGCATAATATTACCAGATTGACATTGAACAAATAATCCATAAGTTTTATTTTCTATTTGGATGTTCTGCATGTGTTTATATTCCGGGTGAGGCACATAAGATTCTTCTAGTAGTATACCGGGGTAAAGTATGAGAGATAATTAGCATGATGACCTCTTTAGATTTCATAGCTTTGTCTTCATACAGGGATGAACACAAAGCATAGTGTTTATGTATAGAGTGAGTTCAGACAATTGAATGTGCAGTGAATGTTTTTGTTTGTCTGGGTTTGGCAGCAATTGTCCGCGTGGTGGAGGCCCGGTATGGACGGCCCATTACCGGGACCTGCTGCTCCGCGCTGTCACTCTCGTCCATCCCTTCTTAATAAATTATTTATGCAACAAACTAGAAAGATATAAATTTAAATAAATGAACCTTATTTTTATGGAGAGAGACACCTTTGATCGATGTCTAATCCTTAAATAGCTGAGCCTGTGGGCAACATTTTGAATCTACAGCTTCAATTTGAATTCAGCAAATGTCTTGTCATTCTTAGTTTTAGTGAGAAGATGTGCCTCGATCTTTGTGCATGATCCAAAGAGTTCATGGCAGCTGTGCCTATAAAAATGTGAGGAGGTCGATTAATCATTGAACTATTTTGAAAATCTAAAGGTCGTCGTTGCTTATAAACATCATCATGTGCTTCTATTTAGACGGCCAACTAGACCATCTAATTTGTTTTTTTTTTTTTTTTTTTTTTTTGTTTGTGATAAATAAGTTTTTGTTCCATTATTAATATTATTAATATTAACAGGATACAAAGGGGTCCGTTAAAAACCTTGTGAGCCTAATGAATAAAAATAGCATCCCTTAAGAGAATGAATACAAATATGAAATCTATCTAAGAGACTATTACAAAAGGGCTCCAAAACAGAAGGAAACCGAAAAAGAGGAAAACTACAAAATCACTATGTATCCGAGCCTGATCCTCTGTCAACATGAGAAAGTCGATAGTGTGAAACATCTTGGCTGCAAACTAAATTTTAGACCACCAGCAAAACTAAACTAATCCTAGTGATGCAGTCAAAAACTTGGCTGAGCAACACCAAGCCACAATCGTCCTGACTTCTAGGGGCGAAGCTTCCACAAACCAATCTTATCACTTTGATACTCATGATGGGCCTCTTTGGGTAGATTTCCAGTCCTGTAGAATTCTTGGTGGTTTCGATCAGTATAAACCCAGTCTGCAAGTCGGTCCGCCACACTAGTACGTTGTATCGTGAAGTTTGTTGGAAATAAATCGTTGCACTTGCGATAAATATATTCATGTTCACATGCGACTTGGTTGTCGTACTTGATCGCTTGGACGAAAAGTAAGGAATCACTCTCAACTTCCACGTGGAAATTAGACGAAGCATGACACAAGTTTAACCCCTTAGCCATCCTAAGAATTCCGCCATGTTGTTCGTCAACATCAAAATGAACAAAATGCAGTAATTATACTTTCGGAGGATCACGAATTGTTAGGTAAATTGGTTACAAATTGAATCATGAACAACTTTTGATCAATATTAATGTATGGTCTATGGACTTGGGCTTGGGCTGAAAACATTAGGAAAGGGGCTGACCTGCGACCCATGGATCCTCCTACCCGAAGTCTATTTTGAATCGGTCTAATTGATTTGAATTGCTGCAGCCAAACCACTGCAAATTGAAATGGTGCAATCAAATGGTGTTCCAGCTGAATTGGTACTTTTCAAGTCCGTTTTCCAATTACTCTTCACTTACATTTGTTTCTTCTTCATTTATGGCCTACCGTTTTTCAGATACTCTCGAAAAGTTCCTACACTAAGTACAGTTCGTGGTACGTGGAATTTAGAGTGCTCATATTACAAGTTTTGACGTTGTCTCTTGTGAGCCGATTTCCGTTAAAGTGGTAAGCACCGCCACGAGGAAAGTTCGTCTTAAGGATGCCTCGGCAAATTCACTCAAAGGTAAAATTTTGGAAACAATTGTAAGACGAAATTATGTTTTGAAATCAGCAAAAATGGTCAAAGACTACATCAACCAACTTCCGTTGTGATACGCGTAAAACCTACGTATGAAAAACCGCAAGTGTGCAGCATCGCGTTTTGTAGAATAGTGAATTCCAGATATCGATCCACAGGGAATTAAGTTCCTAAATCTACCAACTACCGTAATTATACTATCCTAAACTTTATCTAGACGATCAAGAATGGATGGGAGAAATGAAGCTAAAAAGAAAGAATAAATAAAAACAACGGTCCGCCAGTATAAGCGAGGAATCCCGACGTGTGATGGCTTCTAGGGTAAAATCCACCAGTGTACTATCGATAAAGATCTACAAATCCGAATCTAATGTCAATTCTATGTTCGCTAACCCAGACACTAAAATACCCTAACCCCCGTCTCCAGTGTAGTTAGAGTCTACCCACAGGTCCGACGTCTCCGTTCAGAACCTGATATTAAGAGAGCATTTAGGTCAAGTCCTTAAGGGCTACCCGAGGTGCATCACGTCTCCGTTTCCACAACCCGGGCTATGTTTTCCTAAAATCAAACGAGAAATCCTCTCTCGAGTTCATTCCCATTTACAATCAATTCAACTGTTGGCCAAACAATCGAAAGCATTTAATACAGGAAAACATAAACAGAATCAAAGAACGACATATAGATCACAGATCTGGAAATCAAAATCAATATATACAAGGTTTCATTTCCCTAAAAGAAAATGTTCAGTTCATTACAAACATAGCATCAAAATGAAGAACACGAGAAATCATAAACTAAACGTAAAGAAAAGCTTATGAAAAACCCGAGTCGAAACCCTCGTCGAAGCTTCCCGCGAAGAACTGGCTAGAACCGAAGAGAAAACCGAAGAAGAAGTCGAAGACAGAAGTGTTCCAAGAAGTCCTCCTTTTGAAGAGTGAGGCTTGTTCTATTTATAGTAAGATTGCAAAACACAAATATCTTGTCTCGAAAACTGTGCACCGCCTTGCCAGATCGCGATACGGGAATGTTGGATCACGATCTGGTTCTTGATCAAAATGTATTGTGAGACCCCCTAGATCGCGATACAGGAAGGCTACTGGATCGCGATCTGGGCTTCGGCGCCAGCTTCAAACACTGTTTTGACACTTTTGTAGCCCGAATTTGACAATTGTTCATTTCACAAAAGTGGTAGATATTGAAGTTAGCTTTCTAAGGCCTTTTGACTCAGCTCAATCGGAGGTCTTATGCAAAAGTTATGCTTGCAATACGAAACAGTGCCACAACCCGCGATAATGCACTTTTGCACGTGTTTGGTTTGATTTTCGGCTTCGCTTCCAAAATCGTTTCGAATCGGCAAAAATAGCTTCTCTTTACCTAAAATATAAATAAAACAAGAAACGCATAATATGTACAAATAAAGCCGAAAACTCGGACGAACGAAGACCAAAACTCGAAGATTCGATAAGTAAAAGTCATGCAAAATGAACACTTATCACGCTCCCGCAACCCCAGCCTCTCGTTTCGGGTGAAAATCCGAACGCTATCCTGCCGCTGAACGAGAATGTTGATCCGCCACTAAACCATAACGTCATTTCTCCGCCGAATGGAGTTCAGACGCCGCTCCGTGGAGCACCATAGCCACCCGTCGTCCCTCATGGGGAAAAAACATAGAAATTCAAAGGAATCAACTTCAAACGTTGGCAACAAAAGGTGGTGTTCTACCCATCAATTTGGCAAGGTTCGTGTCTGAAGTACCTGCCGTTGTACCAGAGAACGATGCTAGCGTGGAAAGAAGAATTTCGTGGAACGCCTGGACCCACTACGACTTCTTGAGTCGGAACCTCATCTTGAATGGTCTACATGATTCACTATACAATGTGTATAGTACAATCAAAACCGTTAAGGATGTAGCAGCCCCATCCCACATCGGAAAAAAAAAGTGAGATTATGTTGAGCTTATAAGGAATCCCCTACTACTATTGGGCACCAGTACCTTCCATGAACTTTTGGGGTGGGCTTGTTGTAGGGCTGTTGTTGCCCCGGTGCTTAGTGGGCCAGTAGGTTGGCTAACGGACCGGGTTGAAAAAGCCCGAGATGTTACAAAAGATCAATTGTTAGAGTCCTTAGGAAAGAAGTGCAAAACCGAAAACGTCGGGCTGAAGAAATTCATCGTCGGCAAGTTCGTGGACTTCAAAATGGTGGACACAAACACCCTTACGAGTCAAGTACAAAAGTTTCAACTCATCATGCATGATATTCATGCCGATGGGATGATGTTGAGCGAATCTTTCCAACTCGCTGTTATGATTGATAAGTTACCACCACTTTGAAATGATTTCATTAACTATCTCAAGCACAAACCCAAGGAAATGGGGTTTGAAGATCTTATCGTGAGGCTAAGGATCGAAGAGGATAATCGAAGGTCTGAGGCTAACCAAGGTGTCGATGACCCGCCACCGGAAAAAAAAAATTAAAAATTAAAAAAAATTAAAAGGAAAAAAAATTAGAATGTCAAATATCAACTAATCTTGAACTTAACTAATACTGAGTCAATCAATTGGAGCTTCGACTGACCATCAACCGGACAAAAAAAATTAAAAAGTGAAGGACAAAAGAAAGAAAAAAAGAAATATCAACGAATGTTAAAGTTAACAAATATTGAGTCAGCCAATGAGTCAACCAAGTAAAGTTTTGAACACCTAGGCAATCGAAGTAAAAATAAATAAAAAAATAATAACTCGTGCAATATGCCAATAATAGCATTTTAGTATTTAATAGGACAACAATAAAAGGTACACCAATTTGTAAATTGCCAAACCCATCTTGGACCACACGCAATCTTTCACGTACTTGTTCTCCAAGCAAAATATTCTTATTGATTTGCTTTTCTGTAATTAAATAAATATGGTGATTTCCAATACTACCCTCAGAATAATGTTGTTCGCCTCAATTAGTCAATTTTGGTATATAAGTATATACCATTTATTAATTACATACCCACCCGATTAAACATACAAATTCCTCCTTTTGCCCACAATTCGGGTCAGAAATCTTCATTATTACTTTGAACTTGAAGCATTTGGTACTATCTTAATATTATCTTAACGTTGAATCCAATTATTATACTTGAAAATTCTCAAATTAAATAAACAATTTAAAGATGATGTCCAATTTGGTCATTTAGCTCTTTCTAGAATACTCTACTCATTGAATGAATACACACCCCAAAATATTAAAGGCCAAAAACGGAACACTGTCCACCAAGAATTTGGTCAGCACGTATGTCGTCACCGCCTTGCACGTGATATTACCTCTATACCCCTTATAAATACGCCTCTGGTGAAATAAAGAGCGCGTGTTAACACATACATAAAATACCCACTTCTTAAACCTTTCTTTCTCTCCAAGATTATATTGCTGTAAAAACTTCCGATTCTACTAATAATAATAATATTGTCTTATTAATGATGAGCCGGAGCGCAACCAGGATGGCGCGTTCAATGCTAGGCCACGTGGGGCCTCGCTATTTTTCTACCACCGTCGTGCGTGGCGGCGCTGCAACTGAAGCAGCAAGAATCGGGGCCGCCGCTACCATTTTCCGTGGTCATCCTAGAAAGGTGGACGTGCAACCGTGGATGATGAGGTTCTCATCAGTTGTGGGGAATCGCAACGCCAGTACTTTGGCTTTGGGAGAAAAGCACCAGGATCAGGATGATGAAATGGCCGAAAGCGGCGGATCAAGTGGAGGCGCCGCCGCTGGTGGTGGTGGTGGGAATGATAACAACAAGGAGATAATGAGTTACTGGGGGGTTGAGCCTGCAAAGATTACCAGAGAAGACGGCTCCGAATGGAGGTGGAACTGCTTTAGAGTAAGAATAAAATCTATTAATTAATTACTAACTATATTTCTTTATTTTTTCATTTTATATTTCTTTAAATTAATAAATAATTTTGATATATTAATAATAAAATTAATGAAGCCATGGGAGACATACAAAGCTGACGTGTCAATAGATCTTGACAAGCATCATGTGCCCACTACCTTCTTGGACAAGATGGCCTATTGGACTGTCAAGGCCCTTAGATTTCCTACTGATGTCTTTTTTCAGGTATTTTTACTTTTTTTTTTTTTAACTTATTTCTTCGAACCCATCCAAAATATAAAAGCAGGGTTGGAATTTTAGATATATATATTTATAAAGCATAATTTATGGTGAAAATATTTACATATTTGCAATTATAAAAATATTTTTTTAATTCGTTGCCAAATACGCCTCCATGTGTGTCCCATTTACATATTTTATCATATACATTATGTATGTATATAGTTGGGAATTTTACATGGTCTCACTAAATGGCGCCCATTTGGTTGGCAAGATAATATTAGCCAAGATAATATTAAATAATTTAATGAGACCCAATTATTTTGTTGGAGTTTGAAACGTCCAACAAAAAAAACTCATTAGAAGGCAAGATAAGCCATGATTATGTAATTTTGGCGGGTCGACCCGGCAATTTATTGAGGATACCAAACATCAAATTAAGTCCAACTATTTAGTTAATCGTGGTTTAATTAAGTCCAACAGGATCTTACTATTTGTTTGCATATATAGTTAGGAGATTAATTATTGTTGTTCACTACAAACTTCCTTTGTAAAAATGTCCCTAACTATATATGCAAACAAATAGTAAGATCCTGAACTATATATAAACATATATAATTTGAATTTATGATTTGGAATGTATTGTGGCAGCGGCGTTATGGATGTCGTGCAATGATGCTCGAAACAGTGGCGGCGGTGCCTGGAATGGTCGGAGGAATGCTATTGCATTGCAAGTCCCTACGGAGATTCGAGCACAGCGGGGGTTGGATCAAAGCACTTCTAGAAGAAGCGGAAAACGAGAGAATGCATCTAATGACATTCATGGAAGTATCTCAGCCAAGGTGGTACGAGCGTGCCTTGGTGTTCACTGTGCAAGGCGTCTTCTTCAACGCCTACTTTTTGACCTATCTAATATCCCCCAAGATGGCTCACCGTGTAGTGGGATATTTGGAAGAGGAAGCAATACATTCGTATACAGAGTTCTTGAAAGAGCTTGACAAGGGCAATATTGAAAATGTTCCTGCCCCTGCTATTGCGATTGACTATTGGCGCCTCCCTCCAAACTCTACCCTACGTGACGTTGTTGTTGTTGTTAGGGCTGACGAGGCTCACCACCGTGATGTCAATCACTTTGCTTCCGTACGTCACATCCCGATTATATTTCTATTATAATAATAATAATTATTATGTTTTTCTTTTTGAGGCTTCTAATGTATGTGCATTTCTTTTTATTTTTTTTGCAGGATATTCATTATCAGGGACGCGAACTGAATGAAGCTCCGGCCCCAATTGGATATCATTGAATATATTATATTGAACAGAGAGAGGTCTGTTTCAATATACACGAGGCACTATTGCAATTCATGTCACTCCCATCTTCTATATTTTAATACGTTGAAATTTCTTCTTCGTTTTTTTTTTTTTTTTTTCTTGAGGTGGACTCATTTTTTTTTCTTGAGGGTACAAGATATATTGATGTTTATGTACATTATTTGTGGTGCTTGTGATTGTGGAACCTTGTTTACATGTGGTGTGACATTTTCGGTATTGGAATTATATATCGTGGACTGATTGCTATACATATGTTTGTTTTGCATCTGCAATTGTTTACATGCATTCGTGTTTTTTCTTTCTTCTTTTTCTTGGATTCTAATTGATACTTGTGAAACATGGTTTAAATTTGGCAGGATCATATCCTGCAATATTTTTCGAAGAAAAAACAAAAAAAAAATATTAGAAGGGAATCTCCCAAGCAGTCTCTGGTGTCCAGGTAAATGGAGCTGCTTTCAAGATACGGTAGGAATTAATTAAGATATATATATATATATGTGCATATATGTATTTAAAAAACAAGGATTCATGTAAAATTAGGGCATCAAATTGAGTGTGTAATGGATGAGATTGAGTGAGAGGATTCATTTGTATACGATTCTTCTATCCAACAGCGTCAAGCTGGGAACGTGACTACTGATACTTCAATATTCTCAAATATTTACGGCGAACTCTTGACAAGGCATATTACACTGCTTGCATCTTGTAATATGTAGTGATTTTGGAAGCCAAAGGAAGCACCAATAGACATGGGAACAATAATACAATGTGTATATATGTGATAAGATCGTGTATATATGTTTGTGTACGTACGTGTATTGTGCCGAAATCAGGAATTTATCTAAGGGTGTTTGAAATTGATTATATAAAAAAATATAAACTTCAATTAATAAAAAAAAATGTGGACTATAAGATGGTAAAATGAGCTTATAAGATGTTTTAGAGCTTATAAGCTTTTCTGAAGTGTTTGGTAATAAAAGATCTTAATTTTTTTTAAAATAAGCTGTTGGAGAACAAATAAGATATTTTTAAATAAGTACCTCTACCCCACCTTTTTATTTAAGATCTTATAATGAGTGAAAATAGAAAATAAGCTCATTATCCAAACACTTTAAAAATTAATTCTAAAATAAGATGTAACAACTTATCAGCTGTAAAAACATCTTATCAGACGTAAGAGCTTATCAGCTGTTTAAAATAAGCTTAGCCAAATACCCTATAAATGTTTACAGGAGTTTGGGATAGCGGTCTCAAATGTGTTTTTAATATTATACAAATGGTAAATTAATTTAACTTGCACTTTTCAATCAAACCCGTGATCAAACCCACACTACCTCCTCCATACATACTAAGTTTTCTACCACTTAAGTAGACAACACTTTTGCTCAATAATCTCACTTAAGCGTATATAATAATACACACAAACACACACACACATATATATATATATATATATAGAGGGATCATTAAATAGTGATATCTATATGAAAATCTCTTAAGTATTTAAAATGCCTGAAGCATTTAAACAAAGGTTTCATGAGCTATACTCAATTAAGTTGCAACGATCCTTTTAAAGTTTAAAATAATCTGAAAAAATGTAGTTTAGCTGTCTAAATGAATACCTTGTTAAAGAAAGGTATATAAACAATCCAGTTCGTCCATTTGCTTTCAATAAAATATCTATAGTTGATTTGCTTGTGATTTACGTAGACGGCCTAAATCTTGTGGGAACTCTTGAAGAGCTCATAAACACCACAAACTATTTGATGAAAGAATTTGATATGAAAAAATGCAGAACAATTTTTTTTTCTCAGCCTGCAGATCGAGCATTTCCAATGAAATTTTCATCGAGCAATCTGCATATACATAAAAGATTCTAAAATGATTTTATATGGATAAATCTCATTACTTGAGTAGTCCTAGGGTTGTTCAATGGTTGGATATAAATAAAGATCCATTCTTTCCTCGAGAATACAATGAAGAATAACTTGGTCCATAAGTACTTTATGTTAGTGTCATTGGAGCACTAATGTATCTTGCAAATAATTCTAGATATGATCTTGATTTTTCGGTCAACTTAGCAGCAAGATATAACTCAACGACCAAAAGACACTGGAATGGCATTAAACATGTATTACACTGTCTTCGGAACAAGGATATGGGTTTGCTCTATTCAATCCATTAAGAATCTCAAGTAATGGGTTATCTCAGTTACGTTTTTACATGTGGTGGCACTACAATTTTATGGTGTTCAGTAAAGCAAACATTAGTAGCTACTTCTTCCAATTCATAAATTTTGGTATTATGAATTAATATAAATTTTTTTAAGAAAAAAAAATCAACTAATAGTTAAATTACCATTGGAGACAGTAATTCAGCAGCCAAGACAATAGTATTAATTAAAATGTTTTTTTAAGAAAAAATAAAAAGAAAAAAAAAAGAAAAGAAAAAGTCAACGGCGGCTCACCGGTGGTCTCCAATGGTGGCAGGTCAAAATTGGTGTCAAAACTAGAATTATGGTCAAAATAGGTTAATTGGTGAAATTGAGCTAAATTGAGGTGTAAATCATGAAATTGGAGTTGAATTGAGTTTCACGGAATTGGGTGTAATTTTGGTATATATAAAAGGTTTTCCTTATTTGCAAATAAGTTCAAGTGAGCTGAAAATATTTAAAAGACAAAAAAATTGGATGTCTTTTTTTTAATTAAGTGCCCTTGTCATGTGCCTCTTTGCCATTAACCATTATATCGTAGATTTTCAATATATTAAATTATTGAATATCTTACAAACCTAACATAAAGTTACGATATAGGACTAATATAATGTACAAACACATTGACCAAAGAAACAATTAATGCTAAATGAGATTTCGATTTATTTGTACCATTTCGACTTTTAACGTGATTTTGATCCTTGACGAGTTCGAATTTGGAAAAATCTCAAATCAATATATATGTAGCCATTTGAATAGTTTTTTTTCTAATCCAGCTTGAATTATTTAGATTGGATGACGGGTGAGAAAATTGTGGATGAATGAATTACAGTCTGAATTTCAGAAAACTTTCAAAAGATCAAAGTTTAGCCAGTGTTCACTTATTAGTGCATATTTTTCTCACCTTCTATTTTAGCTAATTCAGGTTATATTAGAAAGCCAACTCAAATGAATACAAATCAAATATTTTAAAGTTAAATTTAGACTGGAAAAACGTCAAATCACATTTGAAGTTGAGGTAGTAGTAGTAGTAAAAATAGAAACGACATTTAACATCTTCAAAAAAAAAAAAAAAACAATCTAAACCAATTAACTAAACACTTGCAACGCACGTGAATCTTCCTAGTTCCTATAAATAACACATTCTTGTAAAACATGAACACACTTGAGAAAAAATACAAGAGTCATCTTCCTTATACTTGTTCACTACAATCCTTTGTTTTGCTTGAGTTTCTGATACGTGCATAAGTTAATATAAATAGGGATAATTAGTGAGAACCCCCCACATCATTTACATATATTAGGGTGGATATATTCTCATTTTCATAATTAGTGAGACCCCCTCTATTAATATTTTTATTTAGAATAAATATAAATATTTAGTTTTATGACTATCATATTACAACATCAAACCCTATTTCTGTAATTCTTCTTCCATTTTTTATTTACAACCCGCCACGCCTCTCTGTCGTCGTTCTCTCCCCTGCGCCACTGTTACTCATCTCCACCAAGCTGCCTCTCCACTTCCACTGTTTCTCAACTTTTCCCCAACATCGCTTCACGATATTCTTCCTTGTTTCCACTCATCTATCTTCGTCTCTGATCCACAAATCGCCGCAATCAATCCCCCTTCTAAACTGCACATCCGCCGGTGGAGACGACGCGCAATCAGCGATGACTCGCCGGAGTATATGGCGGCGGCGACGCATATACTGTTAGTTGTTATTGAGTAAATAGTAGCCTTATGGTTTGCTCTTCTATGCTTCGTGGGTATGTGTTTAATTATTAATTAGTTTTGATGGATTTAATTTATTTAAATACATATATAATTTGAAGGACTCATATACATTTGAATTATTTTGGACTGAGAAGTATTGATCCCATAATCAACTATTTGTGATGAATGTCCCTAATTTAGTTTTATGTCTAATACCTTGGATTAGATGTATAACACATAGAAGGTATGCATAATGGAAGGGAGTGGCAATAGATGCTTATTCGCTTTTGTTTTGCAATGGATTGATTTTTTAGATTTACAGGACGATGGTGAATTGAAGAAGATAGTGTTTATGTAGTTGTATTTGCTCTAATTTATAGTAGTTTTGCTGAAATTATGGTTATATTTTTGTTGTTGATTACGATGTAGTTGTAGTTGTTTTTGTTAATTTTATAGTTGTTTTACTTGGTGGTTTACATAGTTGTATTTTTTGTTTTCGCAGGTAATTTTGTGCTGTTTCCGTGGTTGGATTGGCTAAATCCATTAGATACATGATTTATGAAGAATTGTGCCGTGTTGAATAGACGGGGATGAACAAGGTGAATTGGAGAAGATCACATTTTTTTGTAGTTGTATTTGCTTGATTTTATAGTAGTTTTTGTTGGAATCGAGGGTGTTTACTTTGTAGTTTCAATTCCTTTGTAGTTGTTTTCGATAATTTTATAGTTGTTTAAAATTTTTTGGAGAAGATCGCATTTTTTTGTAGTTGTATTTGCTTGATTTTATAGTAGTTTTGTTGGAATCGAGGGTGTTTACTTTGTAGTTTCAATTCCTTTGTAGTTGTTTTCAATAATTGTATAGTTGTTTTAAAAATTTTGTAGTTGTCTTCGATAATTTTATAGTTGTTTTAAAAATTTTGTAGTTGGTTTCGAGAATTTTATAGTTGATTATGAAACAAAAAAATAGTTGTTTTAGTAATTTTGCAGTTCACTTCAATTTTTGGTAAACTTGCTGTTGACCACCACAATTTTATAGTTGTTTACGATAATTGTATAGTTGATTATGGAAAAATATGAACTAAATAAATTAAAAAAAAATTGTAGTTGATGCAAGAAATATTATAGTTGATTTCGAAATTGTTGTAGTTGTTTTCTGAAGTTTTTTAGTTGTTCTGGTAAAAAAAAAAACTTATTTCTTTAAAATTATTTTTTTATTATTTTTATTATTTTTTTAACAAAAAATTAATCCTTTTTACTTAAACAAACGAAAAAAATTAAAAAATAAAAGAACAAAGCTAAAATGGTGAGTAATGGGTAATGAATAGAGGGACGGTAAATTTGAAAATAAAGAAAGAGATGGGTCTATCACTAATAAGTGAAAATGGGCTGGACCCATCCTTATTAAAAAAATGCTAGAGGGGAGTTTCACTAATAGTCCCATATAAATATTTGCTAGATTAATTAGTAGAATAATTAGTGGGATAAGTTAGTTAGTTATTACTGGGTTAGTGGATAAATTAATAGAATTATGGCTCGTTCGGTTACCTATATTAGATTAGATTGGATTACATGAGATTGGATTAACTCCCTACTGACTAATTAATTATTTAGTTAGTAGCATGTTCGGTTTCTTAGATTAGATTTTCGATTAAAATTGTTAAAATCGGTTATTATATATGAATTGTCTATAAAACCACTTAGTTTACAATAATAAAATATGATTTTGAGGATAAAATTGTTTTTTTCCTTTTTAGTAACCCCTATTAAATTAATCTCAGGGGAGGGGTGCTACTAATTTAAAGAAATAGTAGCATTTAATAGCGGGCTTTGATTTTAGTAGCGGGTTTGAAAAAATGTGAATCTTACCAACCGGACATGCTATTAGCCCCTACTATTTAGTCAGTAGAACCTTATAGCGGTAACCGAACGAGCCCTTAGTCATTGCATTAGAATAAGTCTTCTTAGTTGGGAAGTGGAGTCATGCTTAGTTACACACATTCTGCGCTTTGCTAGTAGAGTATATTTTACAATTCATTTGTAATAGTATAAATAGAGATTATGCACCGAATGGAGATAGACAATTATTATTGGAATACTCTCCTCTTTAATCTATTTCTCGTTTCTTATATTCTTCTCTCCTCTAATATTTTCTTATTCTTCTAATATTCTCATATTCTCCCAAATTCTTGTTCCTAAAAGTCTTGGAACATAACAGTAGTATCAGAGCCACGTTCCATGGAAACTTGAGATAAATCCAATACCGAGTTTTGCACCGAGGTTTTCGAAATCCTTGCCAAACATATATCCAATTTCGATCAAATACACAATACTCTTCAAATTGTTCTCAAAGAGCTTCAAGCTCTACGGGCTTCTTCCACACAACAAAAAGTCCCCGAAAATTATGTCAACCCCTTTGCTGCGGGAGAACACATCATAAACAGTCAAGCAAAATACAACCGTAGATACAACTCGCACACCTCCAACTCTTCTTCCAAATACAAACCTCAAGTTGCAATTTTCAAAGTTTACCGGCGAGATCCAATGGGGTGGATATATAAGGCGGAACAGTATTTTGAATTTCAAAATATCCCAACGACGCAACATGTTCAACTCGCTTCCTTTCAACTTGAGGGGATCGCCTTGCAGTGGCACCGGTGGTTAACAAAATTCCGAGGGCCCTTGTCGTGGGACGAGTTTTCGAAGGCCCTTTTAAGCCGCTTTGGACCGACCGATTATGAAAATCCTTCTGAATCTCTCACCCGCCTCAAACAAACTACAACCATGGCTATGTATCACGAGGCTTTCGAAAAATTATCCGACCAAGTGGACGGTCTTCCTGAAAACTTTTTCATTGGTTGTTTTATTGCAGGTCTTTTCCGATGAGATTCGTCTGGATGTGAAAATTAAGCAGCCTAATTCTCTAATAGATGCGATTGGCGTGGCACGACTTGTGGATGAAAGAAACATGCTACACCAAAACCCACAACCTTTCCACTCGCAAACTACACCAACAAACTTGAGAGTCACAACTACTTCAACGTCGGGTATTCTAGGCCCTCCACCCACCATTTCAAACATTACACCAGCTACTAATAATCCCAATATTTCGTCACTCACATTTACAAAAATAACTAGCCAAGAAGCCCATGAACGAAGACAAAAAGGCTTGTGCTACTATTGTGACGAAAAATTCAAACTAGGTCATCGTTGCCAACGACCTCAATTTTATATGATCGAGGATGTGCACGTGGAAGATTTCCAGTCAACCGACCCTCCAAACACAAAACAATCCCTTACATACATCAAGATTTTATCCTTGAGGACAAGGATATTCAAAGCTGGTGGGAATGATACGTGCATAAGTTAATATAAATATTTGCTAGATTAATTAGTAGAATAATTAGTGGGATAAGTTAGTTATTAGTGGGTTAATGGATAAATTAGTAGAATTAGTCATTGCATTAGAATGTCTTCTTAGTTGGGGAAGTGGAGTCATGCTTAGTTACACACATTTTGCACGTTGCTAGTAGAGTATATTTTACAATTTATTTGTAATAGTATAAATAGATATTATGGCACCGAATGGAGATAGACAACTATTATTGGAATACTCTCCTCTTTAATCTATTTCTCGTTTCTTATATTCTTCTCTCGTCTCTTATTCTTCTAATATTCTCATATTCTTCCAAATTCTCGTTCCTAAAAGTTTTGGAACATATCAGTTTCTTTCCTATATTTGTAACAAACTTATATTGATTTAATCAAAATCTATAAATGTTTACTTGTTTTACAAAAAAAAAAAAAAAAAAAAAAAATCATTCAGAAAAAAATTGACAACGTCTTAGGGACTCTGTTGTGATTGTCTACACGTGACGGTGTGTGTGTGTGTGTGTCGTTGGTGCTATTTGGAGCACGAACTTAGATCACACACATTATTGGAGCTATTTGGAGCAGAAATTCCTATCTTATAAAAATACTTGGCAATTAAAATACATTTACAAGAGCTCATACGGTGTAATAAATATTTTTAACAGTTTGGTGTATGTGCGGATGGATTTGCACATGAAACCAAACATCCAAAAACAAGAAAAAGGCCAAACTTCATATCCCAAGAGAACGAAGATGTATTTCGTGGAGATGGTGATTTTTACAAGAAAAAACATTAGAAAAAATAGAAAAATAAACTTCTACGACAATAAAATTCTAAGCCAAATCATCCGAAAACGAAGAAAAAAGTAAATGTGCAGCATTTAGCATTTATTCCAGAAAGAGATGAAAAATATATATAGGTTCAAAACTCAACGTTTAACCATTTGGTATAATAGACACAGGTAGCGGGAGAGATGGGGCCATCAGGTGTACATACACTAATTCTGGGACAAGCACCACACGGGATTGAAGCAAATCCACCTTTCTTTGGACCACCCTTGGCAACACCTGCACCACTTGCTACTCTGTAACAAACTGTTCCGATAGGGATAGAATGGTAATCACCCAACCCACTGCTCTTCACCTCTATAATATTATTGTCCAGAACCATTGAGTTCAATATATCCACAACTTGTTCGCGAGAAGGTTCAAAAGTCAACACTCTTGACTTCTTGAGATCATTGTGTACTCCCTCTATTGTAGTAACTTTCTGCGCACGCAAGAACCTTAAGCACATATCTTGGACTGCTTTAATAAGCTCTTTGTCGAGGGCACCGTTTGAATACCACTCCCCTCCGCTTATTTCCTTTGAAGGCTCGAACTCGACTGACATGTAGTGTTTTTTACCCTTGTTTTGAATGTTTACAACTTCTTTGATCAAGTTTTTCGCCATCAAAGACTTGACCGATTTGCTTACAACGGGGTCAGTCAGATTGGTCTCTAGTTTGATGTCTCTTGTCCAAATCCCCATATTCCCTTTGCTTTTTATTGAATTGAGGACTGCTCGCTCCGAATCTATCAGACCTGATTCATCTGTTCCAGGTCTTCTCCTCTTCAGATTTGCGTTCGAACGACTCATTACTGTCAAAAAAGACCAAAATATAAATTAATGAACGACTCTAATTATTTGCAAATTTTTTGTCACTCATATGAATGAATATACTCTAGTCACGAGTGAATATGACTACCATGAAAAGAACCAAGCAGAAGTAAGCCCCATTCAATTGATTCAAAATTGCACACTGAAATAAATTTCTCTACGATGACAGTACAAAATTGTGCTCAATATTGGGTCGCCAAATTTTTACGAATGTTTCTAAATGTTCAATCTGGACCATGCATCTCTAGATTTTGCACACGGCAGCAAAGTATGCATACAATGCAATAAGTACTAAAGAAATAAATTACAAAGCAAATTGATCTTTTGGCAACTCTACATTTATTTTTCCAATTTAAGGAACAAAAAAGTGTCGAGCTATGTATGTCACAATTACATGGCTCCAGTAAATTGACGGTTCAGCAAAGAAGAAGCTAAAAAATTGAAGAATCGGGAAATAAATGGAATTCCAAAAATGCAAATGCATGTGAGGCATTAATCCAACTAATTGCTTGTGTTTCAAACTCTTGGGCCATGCCACCATAAAAAAAGACAAAAGGGTGGCCAAAAGTGTATAATACAGACAATGACCATATTTATTAGCTACGATTGCCATGATGATGTTTTCCTTTTGCTAGCAAAAAAATCGCACCAATTTGGCTGAAAGATTATAAAGCAAAGACATTTACATCCACGAGAATTTTCGTTCTACCACTTATTGAAATTTTCGATAAATTAGTTGAACTTGAAAAATGAAACAACTATTGAAACCACTCTATAAGCTATCAACAAACACTCCCACAACCCCTTTGTGTTGGCCAAGAGAAACCACAACAAACATTTACTCTATGATTTTTTGTTACGTGCTAATTTGAGAAAGAGAAATAATCTAACTAAGACAATTGAGAGAGAGGAATTAAGAGAAGACAAAGGAACATTTGATTCTGTAAAAACTTCATATCCCGTTCTGTACATTTTTACATAATTTATAACACTTTCACACACACATTTCACACACACGCACACACACATTTCACACACACGCACACGCACACACACATTTCACACACAAGCACACACACTCACATAAACATACACACTTTTTACACACATACATATACACATACACACTTTTTACACACACACACACACACATAAACATACACACTTTTTACACACATACACATACACACTTTTTACACACACACACACACTTTTGTACACACACGCACACACACTCACATGCACACTTTCTACACACTTTTCACACACACACACAGACACACTCCAACACATTTTTCACACACACACACACACACTCCAACACACATACGCACTTTTCACACACACACATACTCCAACACACATACACACTTTTCTCAATACTCAATACTAAGTAAAAGTTTAGGAATCACAAATAAAATGCCATATCAAATTACCCATTTAATTTTGTTTTTGCTTTCACTATTGTAATGTTTTTAGTATGAATGATAGAGTGCAGGATTTTCTGCAGCATCAGATAGCCTCGAAGAAATTTCCCAAAAGTTAAACATCAAAGCAATCGTCATCAATTTTTTATTCCAGGGTTATATTAGAGCCATGGGTACTTAACAAACCTTAATGGAATCGATGAAGGCCTCAATCGGTGCGGGGGCGAGCGACGGCGCCGGAAGTGAACGGAGTGGACGAACCGGTGAGCAAGGTACGCGAGCGGTGAGCGGAGTGGGGGAGCAGAGGGCGGTGAGCGAAGTGGAGGCTGTTGACGGCGGCGAGGAGCGGTGTGCGGCGGTTGAGGCTCGGCGATGGGTTGGGAAATATTAGGGCTGAAATTTTTGGATCGATTAAATTAATAATTAAAATAATATTTGACTTTTCTTTTTGAGAAAATTGTTTTGAGTATTTAATTGGGTTGGATCCAATGCGGCCCATTTCATTTTTACTTAAAATAATACTGATTATGCAAACTTTACAATTGAATTTACATAAGCATAAGTGGAAAATTATTTTTAGATAAATTAATGTTTGTTTTTATTTTTTATTTTTGAGTGATCTACAAGCATACCAATATTTGACTCGGAAGTAGAAATTTATCAAAGTTAGATTTCACAAATAAGAGCCAATATCTTATTTTCTAGTGCAATTTATCGTGACAGAACTTAATAAAAATTAAAATAGCGAAGAAGTGCACTAATGGTAGAACACGATGGAAGAGTAATTGTTTTTTCTTTTTGGGCTAAATACAGTTTGCACCCTCACTTACCCCTTTAAAGTTACAAATGTAACACTTACCCCTCTCATTAATGAATTTAAAGGTATAACTTTGACTTTGAATGATGTGGAATTTTTTCTTCCCAAATTGTCCTTCTAGCCATTAAATAAAGGGTAAATTACAAACACCCCCCTGAGGTATGGTCAAATTACAAAAACCCCCCTCTTGTTTGTATAATTACATCTACCCCCCTCAACTATGATTTTTTCTTAGACCTCCACCTTTATGGTGCCAAATTCAACATAGTCATCTAGATTCCATGAAATGTGCTCTAGTTTGTACTCTTTTTGTGTAAAAAATACAGTTTACGATGCACCACAAACTGATATATACAAGCTAAAAATCACATATTATGGTCATCTTGCTTCATAATGTAGAGTTTGAATGGGATAAAACGGGTACAAAAGTGATAATATTCCATATAATCACGAAGATTCCACTAAATTTGATGAGTTGAGGGGGTGGTTGTAATTATCCAAACAAGAGGGGTGTTTTTGTAATTTTGCCATACCTCAGGGGGGTGTTTGTAATTTACCCTTAAATAAATAATGAATATGTAATAATAAAAAAATCGGCAACTTTGCCAAAACTTAATTTTATTATTTCAATATTGTAAATCTATGAATGAAAAAAATTGAATTTTAGTTTATTTTTGTTTTACCTTGTGTTCATTTGTAGCTAATAAAAAGTTAACGATTATTCGAATTTTAAGTATAATTTTATAGTTTATATAGTTATTTTAATGCGTATATGACTCTAATATAATCATCTCACTTTTACTTGGAGAATCACAAAATGTATTCAAAAGTTAATAAGAAATTATAATTTAAACGTCTAAATATTTAAATATTATTTTATTAAAATTTATATTTAAGTAACTTAAATAAATTTTCAAATCAATAATTATTATAAAAAAAATTGGCCATTTAAGCCTTGAATATTATTTTCTCGCGAATGTTTAACGTATTTTATATATTTTTTAAAATATTGAGATTTTTATTTATATTAGGGTCTATAGTAATTAAAATGTGGAGTTAAACATAAATCAAAATATTTTTTTAATAATTATTATATTTTATAAATTTTAGTTTTTGAAATATTATTGAAACTATTTTATTATATATGCATCAATATAATAGCTAGAAGGACAATTTGGAAAGAAAAAATGCCACATCATTCAAAGTCAAAGTTTTATCATTAAATTCATTAATGAGGGGGGTAAGTGTTACATTTGTAACTTTAAGAGGTAAGTGTTACCACCCCTATAGTTTAAGGGTGCAAAGTGTATTTAGCCCTTTCTTTTTCCTTTTCCCTTATTCGAAAAATGGAGAGGTAGTTGAGAATAAATAAATAATTGAAGAGAGAAAATTTTATTAACTATATTAAAGTGATTTTCATTGATTTAATCTTTTTGCTAACAATTAAATTTTATATAATTAACTATTTATATTATTAAATGCCACATGTCAAAATCATAAACATCCGGTGAAGTTTACTGGGTGTAGCATAGAATAGACCGTGAATCCACAGGAATCCAGTTTAAAAAAAAAAAAATCAACTTGATCCGATCCAATTTGTTCCAACTAGATTTAATCAAAACTGGATCCATGTAGACCGAGCCCGATCTAACTGGATCCATGTAACCGATTCCAAATTGCCACCCCTTATCTAACTAAGATAAAGATGCAAATTACTAATTCTACCAATATATCCACTAACTCTCTAATCTAAATAATTCGTCCACTAACTAATGAATTGTACGTATCATGTTTCTCAATCATCCTGCTGAGTTTTTACCTTTGTTCTTGAATCCCCATAAATTTATAATGAAATAAACTAGTTTATGTCAAAACATCACTCAATTATATTGACCGCAAGAATTAACTCATTCAGAAATTAGTTAAACTAGATAATGGTAAACAAACCCAGTGATGTAATTAAATACGAGAAAACGAAGAAAAAATTCAGCCTTATCGCCCAAAAAAGAACAATGGAAAAATACTGCACAATTACTAAAACTTCAAAACAAAATATTGGTTAAGATACTGTACAATTAACCAAATTGTTCATAAATAAGAAATCACCTCGAAAGGGAAGATTTTGATTACAGTAGAAATCAAATCGGCGACAAAAGCCTGTGACGGTGATCGGTTAAACTCGAATGAAAACGAACTGCCCTAGGCTGGGGGTACACTTTTTTTTTTTTTTTTTTTGGTTTAATTGGACACACAAACTCAAAAGCCCAGCAGCCCAGACCCACTCCAACATTTCCCTTTTCTTTTCTTTTTTGGGCAAAAAAATAAGGTCGTTTCTAATCGGCTTTTAATACCCGACCCGGTGTATCGTATGCGAATACCCGACCCAACTCAAAAACCCGACTTTTTCTAATAACATGCAGTATTTTATTTTCTAAAGGGTAAATTACACGTACACCTCTGATGTATGCTAAAATAACTCTAAGGTCCATGTTATATTGGTAATTATGCAACCATTCCCTTGAAACAATTAACGAAGCCAAGATTTCATGTCTTGGGGACCTATATGCACTATATTTGTTTCTCACGAGGCCGTTAATGCTACCATAGATGAAAATTTATAAATATTATATAAAATAATAATGATTTAAGAAATGTTAGGAGAGCCATGTCACCATCTAGCTCTATGTTGTCTCCATCACTGTCTGAAACTAATAGTGCGTTAGAACCCTAATGAAACAACTTATCCAATGCATTATTCCGCTAGTGTTTCTATACATAGGGTGATTGCTAAATATCTGTAATATATATTACAGGAACATTAAAGTTATTTTAGCATACCTCAGGGGTGTAAGTATAATTTACCATTTAAAAACTGAACACATTCAATAAAAAAAAATAATTGTTTTTCAATTTTTTTTATATTTTTTACTAGGTAACAAAATTTGGATTATTGGATTTTTTTAACAAAATATCAATCCTATCGGAACCACAATCTTGAGAATTCCAAGAAAATTAAATAAACGAATTTTAATTTAAGCTACAAAACTAGATACTAGATCGTGCAAACCCTTTTCAGATAATAGAATAAGGCCCCATTTGATTGCACTTAATGAGTCCTATGCTAATTTGCCATCAAGTGCTTTTTTTTTTTATTTGAGAAAACCCTTCATTACGTCTTTTAATGGGAAATGCCCAGAATATTTTGCTCCATTTGAGAAAAGTTCATACCCATTTTCAGTCATTATTTTTTTTTCAGTTTTATGCCCCCGTCCGCCACATCATCATTGCGTCACGCGCTGGTCATAAGCCCTTTTTTTTCTTCTTTTTTTTTTTTTTCTTTTTTTATTAATTTTATTAATCGACTATGAAGATTGAGAGATAGGAACTAAGAGAAGAATTAAAAGGAAGAATTGATGCTTTAAAAACTTCATATCCCCTTATGTACCTTTTTACATAATTTATAATACTTAATCAAACTAAACTACCAACTAAAAATTGGAAAAATTAGCAATAACCCATAATACATGTATATAAATTAAGGTGGATGCAAGATCTTTTCCAATATTAGTGAGACACCCCCTCTCCCAATTATTAATTGACAATGTATTTGAAGTGACTACTTTAACATTGACTAATTAAATCTGTATAGTCACGTATTACGTAAAAAGTGTTAGGATAGTAGACTAAAAGTCTCGCTTTTAGCTTCATAGTTTTATTATTGAATTAATAAAATAATTTATTATCATTTTATGAGAATCTGCACTAAGGTATTCAATGCATTTAATTGATTGTTTGTCAATTAATTAAAAGCATAAGTCTAATATTCTAATAGTATTCGAGATGGTGTGCTACGGCGCACAGAAAGATCATTTCGAAAGTTCGTTTAGAATATAAAGATAAATGTTCACAATCTAGATGGAAATGGACTAACCATTGGTAAAAGATTGTAGCACAATATTTAAGTGATTGGTCTTGATCACAGTAAACAGAGAATAACTTTTGTAGTTATTGTTTTGACTTATTGTGCTAGCACACCCGGCATGTGTTGAACCGGACAAAGTTGAATAATTGTTTCATCACTGTTCAAAATGAAACTGTATTATTTCTAGTTGACAGTAAATTACTTACTCTCCTAATCCCTAGATAATTAACGTACATATTTAATTAATGATCTCTACTTTGATGTCACAATGGGAGAGATTCCTATATTGAGTCAAATGGCCCCCGGTGCATTGGGTAGAGACATTAAGAATTAATAGGTGGAAATTAATTATCGAAAGGAATCCACATCTCTGAAATATGGGATTGATAATAACCCTTGAGTAGTTTATAAGATTTGTTTATGCCAAGTCCTGGCCAGGTGGATTTCGTATCCGGCATACTCAAATAAGTTAAGCGGGTAAGACTCATGAAAAGAAACCATTTAATTTATTTAGCAGTGAATAAATTATTTGGTGGTTATAAGATTTCTTAATGTGGGGAGAATCTAAGTAATGATCGACCGGAGCTCGAATGTAATATTTGAGAATATAAACGGGAGTTCAATAATTATTTGGTAGTGGAAAATAAATAATTATTTAATGATTAATTAAATGAA